GTGGCCCCCTGGCCCCGCCTCTTCTCCACAGCATGTGTGGGTGGTCCCTCCTGGTGCTGGCCCCTCACTAGAGCAGCGCCGGGCTTTGGGATCTCAGCAGAGCTTCCGGTGGGGCAGGTGTGTGGGGGGGTGGTTACTGAAAACTTGCTCTCCTACCAAGTTCCCAGCATGCCTGATGCTCCGCTCCAGGACCACCTAGAGCACCGCCCCTCCAGCAGGTGCGGTCCCTCGTGGAAAGGACCGTGAGCCATGCGCTGCTCACGAGTCCAGCGGAGCCCTCAGAGCTGGGCAGGTGAGCGAAACGGCGAAAGTGCCGCGGGCGGTGCGGGGCCAGGAACCCCGCGCGCGAACTCTCAGACCGCTCAGACCACCGGGCCCACTCCGAGCAGGCGCAGTCCCGGCCGCGCCTGCAGACTCCAGGAGCGCTCCTCCCCTGCCGCCGCGCAGGCCCCGCTCCAGAGACCCAGCCTGCGGCCTTTGTGACGTCACAGGCGAAGAATGGTTGCCTTGGAGACGTAAACCCAGGGCCCAGGGTGCGGAGCGGAGAAGGTCTGCGCACTGAGGCGTCCGAGGGAGACCCGGTGCGTGCTCGGGGCTGGGGTGCAAAGCCGGGGCGGGGGCGCGTCCCTCGGCAGGCCCCCTGCAAGGTTTCCAGGCTGTTTCCTCCATGCTACACCTGCTCTGCGCATACCTGTCCACCTCTGCGTCCCTCCGTCCCTCCCTCTCTGTGCACTCCCGCTGTGTGGCCCAACAGCCACAGCCAAGCTGGGGTGCAGGATGCCTGCGGGGCCAGGAAACTGGGGATTCCGCTCCTCAGGGGGCTGTGGCGAGAATGTGGCCGGAATGGTTGCAAACGTGTCCAGGGCCCCGGGGGCGCCAATCTCTGCTTCAGCGCCAGACTGTGGACACCTGGTGGAATCTCTGCTTCCCCCCCTGCACAAATGACCCCGGGCCTAGTTACAGCGTGCCAAGGGCATGTCATATGAGCAGGAAAGACCCCCTCCCCTGTTCTCGGGGACATGGAGCTCATGTTCCCGAGGAGAAAACATGCTGATTGTTAGCGTGCTAGCCAGCTGTGGGAACTGCAGAGAGGAGAGAAAATGGGGTCACATGGGGTGGGAGAAGAAGCCCACCTGGGTGGGGCGGTGAGGGGAGGCAGCTGCACCGTGACATTGGAGCTGAGCCGAGTGGAAGGGAGCCATCCCCTACCCCAGCTGGGTCCTTTTAGCCAAGGGCCCTGCAATGCAAAGCGCAGAAGTAGTCAGAGACCAGGCTGCTAGAACCCCCCGGAGGGCAGGTGCGGCCAGCCAGCACGGGAGAGGCAGGGGCAGCAGGGGTTGCTGCTCGGGGAGCCCTCAGTGGGTACAGGCTGTGGGCCCAGGGCCACCACTCAAGCCCTGTGTCTCCCCAGTGAGGACCACCTTTAGCCAAGGGAAGTCCCACGCCAACGTGTTGCTCCTGGCCAGGATGTCCAAGGCGCTGAGTGCCGTGACCCCCAAGAGCACGCCCTATGACAGTAAGTGCCGGCGGGCTCGCCCAGAGCTCACAGGCGGCCCTGGAGCTGGGATGGCGGGTCAAGGGGTAGGTGGTTCTGCGTCAGGCGGTCGTGAGGGGTGCACCAGCTGAGATGCCCGGGTCTCTGTGTGAGCTGGTGGCTCACACAGCAGAACTGGATCGTGTGGTGTCTGGGGTCGGAGGTCCTGGGTGGGCAGGGCTGTCCCTCCCCAGGGCTGCGAGGGAGAGTGCTCCAGGCCTCTGCCCATGTCAGGAGGCTTGCTGGCCGACTGGCAATCCCCTGGCGTGTGGAGGCATCACCCGGTCTCGGTCCGCATGCTCACGTGGGGCCATGTCCGTGCATCTGTCCCCTTCTAAGGACACCAGTCGGCGCTCACCTGCCCTGGAGGGTTCTGCCCGACTCAGTGCATCTGCATCGGCCTTACTTCCAAACCAGCCCCCTGCTCTAGAGAGAACTGGAGAATGAAGACAGGCCGAAATGGGGTGCGAGGAACAAAACAGCGCATGAGCCCAGAGAGGTTTACAGATAAATTAGCTCTACACACACACACACACACACACACACACACACACACACACCAGCGCCAGCTGGGGCGTCCTGGCTAAGGCAACTGGATCCCACAGTGCAGTTCAAGTCTCAGACCCGGCGGTCTGAAAAGCACACCGGGCATGGGGACCGGCAGTTAGCGTAATGGCTATGTCGCTGGACTTCCACGTAGTCGACCACGGTTC